GTATGCATAATCCGCGGGCTATAGTCGAAAGCACGAGTTGCCATGTATCTCTACGAAAGCTTCGTGTCTCGCAAGAACAAATCAGATTTTGTCACGAACCGTTTGCTATATTCACTGATTCAGGAAACATACAGAGTGGTCTATGTTCGTTTCTTGAACGCGTTAACACTGAGGCTAGCACCGCCGAGCAAGAGAGCGTCTGCCTACTGATTATCCTCGAGAGGACGCTCCTGAATTCCTGAGGATGGCTCGACAGTCTATGAACATTGCGAGTACACTCAGCGGAACACACAGCCACCAAGACACCCTGTACTCCATTTCATACAACAGGTGCAAAGCTGTGGAGGATAGCGAGACCTATTGCAATAAACGCATCCGCATTGAGAAATAGTACGATATTTTTTTCTTCTGATGTAAGCTTCTATATTTTCTTTGGTCTTAATAATAAATAAACATGCTATGGTAATCGGAGGTAAAGTTGAGCCAAAGTTGTGCCGGTATATAAAGAGAGCAATCGCTCTGATCCTTCAAGCTATCGGCCCATATCTGTGTTAAGCATTATAAACACCATATTTGAAAAGATTCTTGGAAAACGAATGCGCCTATTCTTAGAAAAATATAATGCTTTTTGCCCGGAGCAGCATGGGTTTAGATCACACCATTCCACATCAACAGCTGTGTTATCGTTATCACAGAAGATTAACAAAGCACTGCACAACAACCTTCTTGTGGCAGTTGTCTTCATTGATTTAAAAAAGGCATTCGATACCGTCGACCATAATATTCTGCTTATGAAATTAAAACACTATGGATTCCGCGGCAAAGTTTTTAGCCTCTTTTCTAGCTACATTGATAGACGTCATGCAAGATCTTACGTCGTCATTATTAAACATAAAGACAGGAGTACCTCAGGGGTCCGTCCTGGGGCCACTATTATTCTCACTATACGTAAATAATCTGCCATACATACTTAAATCGGCTGAGTTGCTAATGTACGCTGATGACACAGCTTTAATAGTTACCGCCGATAACATAGCCGATCTAAAATGTAGAGCTAACGAAGAACTAGAAAATATTTTTAAGTGGTTTACCGTGAACAAATTAACACTCAATGCAAAGAAAACCAAATACACCATTTTTCACTCCCGTTACCGAAATGTAAACTGTGAGTCATTTCGACTTACAATGAACAACTACCAACTTGAGCATGTAAATGAATTTAAATATCTCGGTGTAGTGTTCGACAGCCAATTACACTGGAAAAAACAAATTAATTCTGTTTGTACTAAGCTAGCATCTAGCTGCAGTATGCTACTGGCTGCTAGAAATTATTTTAGCAGAAATATTCTCAGAGTCCTTTATTTTTCGTTTGTTCGTAGTCATCTATCATACTGCTTAGACTCATGGGGATGAACCTTTAAAACTTACCTTGATCCTATCCGGATATTACAAAAGCGTGCACTTAGAATTATAGATTACGCGGCATATAATGAACCCAGTGAGTCTTTGTTTCACAAGTTGGATATTCTACCTTTTGATTACATACGGCAGCATGAAACCACAGTCACCATCAACAATGTTATTGCACAAAGTGTACCTTTCGATACATCTATCTTTTCTTCCTCATCCCGCGTCACTAGATGCATGACATTGCGGAATTTTAATCTTGCACCCACTAAAAACGTGTATGGTGAACGCTTACTACAGTTCGCAGGAGCTAAAGTGTGGAATAACATACCACTTCAGATTAAAGATTCTAGGGTTTTCTCGAGCGCACTCAAAAAATATTTGCTACATGTAGATTAATAGTAATGACCATGTACTAAGCCTTACACATAGTTTGATGTTTTGTCTATACTTGATTATTTCATTAATTATGAACAAAGTGCAACAATGTGTATCTTTTTGTATTTTTGTTCGTTTGTTGAAAAATCAACGTTTTTTGATGTTTTGGTTTTTTTCTTATATACAAATTGTATTCTGCTTGTATACTTTCTCCCGTTAGAACCCTTACTAGCCTATGGCTATGGGTCTAATCAGTGCTGTGCATTTCTTGAATTGTGGTCATAGCAACCTTAATAAAATGTAAAAATGTAAATGTAAAGACGCCCCGTTATATGGCTGTCTATAAGTTGTTCCAGATCACTTAGCATCTCTTTGTTCTCGCCTGCTATGTTTCATTTGTCGCCTTTTTGAGAGTTCAGCTCTTGTCTCACAAGAGTACCTGCAACAATGATAGCCAAGCACGAGACTTACGTAGTCATACACCTTGCTGACGGATCTTCTCGCATAGCCTCCATAGCAATGCATCTGGCGTAGGAAACGGAGTATACCTCTGTCTATTGTGACTTGGTGCGGGCGCCCCCTTTCAGAGTAGTGAAATTCTTTGAAAGGTGTGGCTAGTAGCCAAGGAGGAAGGATGAGAAAGGAGAAGCATTAGGTCACAGGAGTGAAGCCCACAATGTCACCCGAACACGTGATCAAAACGTCAGAGCACGCATTAGGCTTTGTACTCTTGGTAATGTTCCGTCTTTGAACCACTTGCGTGAGCCGACTGGTCTGCGCCGAACCAGCGCGTTTTAATTAAAAGCTACCGGGCGCCGTGCTCCGAAGGATCGGCAAGTCTGATAGCTGACGTGAAGGCGCGCAGAACGTCACGTGTTGGCTCGACAATGCTGGCTTCAAAACGGCGTGCATGGCTTGCAAACATGGAGGAAGGAAATACAGAGGAGAGGCTCTGTCGTATCCCAATGCTTTCAAGAAGTGTGGTGGAAGGACGTCAAATTATTGTGGCAAACAAACTGGGCAAAGAAAAGAGCAGACGCCCTGCAGCGTGCTTTCCGCGCTCGCAACGCTTCTCCTTCAATCAACAAATGAAGTGGGAAGATGCAGGCGGCTTACTTTTAAATGCGAAGCATTTCTTAACGAACTTCAGCGACTTTCAGCGTATCTATCTATCTATCTATCTATCTATCTATCTATCTATCTATCTATCTATCTATCTATCTATCTATCTATCTATCTATCTATCTATCTATCTATCTATCTATCTATCTATCTATCTATCTATCTATCTATCTATCTATCTATCTAGCAATTTCCGTTCGGGCTCTCGTAGTCACCCCTTTAGCTTGGCGTCAATAAAAATTAGCATGGGAGGCTCGATGGTTTGACGATTATGATGCATTGGTGAAGACATGAATATTGTCACCATTCCGTCGCGTTCGTCACTAAACACTTCCTGTCAGAGATTGAGGCATACCCACGGGCGGGTCTGTGCCGCTGGCATTCGGGTATGTGCCGCAGGTGATTGATATTTAGTATCTACTCAGGAGCGTTGAGAACACGCATGGGCAACCCAACGAATGCAAAGGATAAATGTCAGGGTCCCAGCAGGAATCAAACTCAAGCATTCTGCAAGGCAATATAGCATTTTACCAGAGAGCTATGCCAAGTCTGAGGACCTACTTTTCAAATAGACGCTAATATTCGTAAAACGTCAATAGTAGTTGCAGTGCTACCTACCCAATTTTATACACATTACATATGTACTCTTTTGATACAGCCGTCACGTCAGGTTAATGCCAGTTTGTGGTTAGTTGCCATGCGCTGAAAATGATGTATGTAGCAGTGTCAAGTGCCGAAATCCTCGCGAGCATCAGTGCTTCATATCAGCTTCTGGTGTTGCTAATGAACCTAATGAACCTAATGGACCTAATGAACAGTTAGTAGCTGAAATAAGGCTTCTTCATCACCGAAGCAACCGAAAAACAGCACAGCATAGTGTATCAGTGTATACCAGGTCATTGCGGTATATATGGCAATGACCGCGCAGATGAGGCCGCTAGATCTGCACACGATGGTACCCAATACACAGCCATCCCGTTCTCAAGAACCGACGCAGCTACAAGACTTCGTTCGCTTGCACGTGACCTCACACTGGTACAGTGGAACTCGACACACTTCACAAACGCGCGCCTGCATAACTTGGATCCCGATCTGCAGCTTCGTCTTCCCACAAGGATATCTCGAGCTGAGGAGACTCTTCTATGCCGCCTGTGGCTTGAAGTGGCCTTCACGAACGCATACTCTTATCTCATCGGGATGGCCAGCTCTCCTACATGCCCTTACTGCAGTTGCGAAGAAACCATCGCGCACCTTCTGTGTGAGTGCACCTATTTCAACGTGCAAAGACAAGAACTCACTGCAGCTCTGGATACACTAGACAATCGGCCTTTGTCGGAACAAAGGATTCTGGGTCATTGGCCAAGCCCATCCTCAGCCCAAAAGGCTTTGAAAGCTTTGCTGCGCTTTTTGCGGACAACTGGCCTCAGAGACAGACTTTAGTGTCTTATACTCTTTGATGTTGCCTTTCCTCAGTCGCATTTTTTTTTGTAATTTCTCCCTCTCTTCGCAACATTTCTTTTTAACATCTATCATTCCTCTCACCCCTTTCCCCAGCACAGGGTAGCCAGCCGGTCTAAGAACTGGCTAACCTCCCTGTCTTTCTGCTTAAACTTTCTTCCTCCTCCTCCTCCTGGTGTTGCTAATACGCATGTTCCAGTTGGCATCGTTGCGCAAGTGCAAACTGCTGGTTATATAAACATCTCCCACTCTTTAACATATGTCTGTGCGTCCAACATTTATACATATATTGAGCGTCATTTCATGACGTGTCGCTCAATAAAAAAAAAATTGCAACACGTTCACTTCCCCTCCACATGCGTCGCATAACGTTGATTCCAAGGTACGTGGGATCTGCCGAATTTTTTCTTTTGTCTTCTGATTGTGCCTAATTTTTCATCGTTACTTCCGTGACAGACATTAATCCATGAAGTCTTGGTGGACTCCGGGCTAAAACAATTTTGTGTTTAAAAGGAAATGCAGTAGAGTACAGGCCTTATAGTCTGTCAGCTATTCGTTTAGTGTATGGGCCAGCGTCAGCAAAGACACGTAAATTTATATTATTGTCGTCTAAGGCAGTTTTTTCTTCTTTATAGGCTGTGGTGGGCACGCTACATTCAGTGAAACGAAAAGTGGCTCTCGTGCGTCAACACAATATTTGCCATGGATGGTAAGTCTTCAGAACCACTTTGCTTGATGGTGCGTTTTTAATGGGGATATACGGCACACCTTCCATCAGTTGCCACCTTGCTTATAAACAAACCCACGAGTTTCTGTCCCAGAGAGCTTCATGGAACTTCTCGACTTCCGTGTCGCACTGGTAAACTTCATAGAGCGTGAGCGAGTGAACTTTGTCTGCAGGTTAGAATGGTCACCTGCTGGCGCGTATGTAGAGGGCTCGCACACGGTCGCGACGGTCCCATTTCGATATAGGCGTAATGGTAGAAGCTTACGTACTATATATATATATATATATATATATAGAAAGAAAGGTGGGTGAAAAAATAAGCAGCCCTGAGCAGGAATCGAGCCTATGACCTACGAATAACACGTTCGATGCTCTAACCACTTAGCTATCACAGCGGCCTTCCCCCAACCCACTTTTTGGGGTTTATATGTGAATTTCAATGTAGGGGTGTCAGTCAGCGTCATCTGTAGCCAAGCGGCGTGTGTGGACACCAATTTATAAGCCTCTGTGGCATCGCGTAGCACGTGAACGTATCACGAGCGGGCAGCTGACCAATAGTCCCTCGTATACAAAGTAATTACACCAAGTCTGCCAGTACGAGATCCGCGTTAATGAATAAGGGAAAGAGGTGTAGACCTCTTTATTCCTCTTAGGGCTGCTCAAACCTGTGGGGAGAAGATCTGAACCGCAAAAAGTACATTCATCTTCTCCAGGTTTGTAGGGTAGACGTGCTTTCTCATCAAATTCCTGGCAAGCTTGATTGTTATCTTCTTCTGTTACTCGTAAAGCTCTTGTACGAAGATACCACTGATTCCACCTGAGCCATCCGTAAGCTGTCGCTCCAGGAACTGGTTGCGCACATTCTTCAGGACGTGGCAAGGATCGAAGCCGAGCCGAATGATGCGGCTGTCATCGTGTGGGTGCCTCCCGACTATTTGCAGAGGGCCATTCCCCAAGTGTTTAAACAAGGTGACGTTGGCTGAGTAACTGTCCGTCACAATGCGGGTCACAGCGAAGCCACACAAGTCCATTGCAGCGATCACCTCTTTTGTCCACGTGAACAGGTCCCTCCCACTCAGCTGTTTTGTGAGGTAATACGGACAGGGAATTTTGTACTTGCTTGACACGCCTTGCATTACAATGCACAAAACTCTGTTCGTGAGCACTTCCTTCGAGCTGCTGGGCGTATCACCGCCGGGCTTGTCTTTAAGGCCAAACACAGCTATGGCCTTCCTGTCATAGATGCACTTGGGTCTGATGCTTGCTTCATCGATTATCAAGGAGACCATATGCTGCTTGCTGCTCAGCATCGACGCCTCGGACGAGCCTTTCCTTCATCGGGGTGCTCATTCCGAATGTCGTCGGGGATGGACCCATGTACCACTATGCAGACAAGGTTGGAAGGCCCGACATGCGAGTGCAGTCATATCCTTTGGGAAAAATGAAACGCCATATGACACACTCCCAAATAAACTCTTCAGGGTTACTGTCATGCTTTTTCCGCTACCTTTCGATATGATGTAGAAGAAAAACGGCCTGTTTTCCCCTCGCTCAGCGTCTGCCACAATTTTCTCAAGTCCAGCCAAGTGCCTGTTTGCACGGTACGCCTCGCTTGCCTTTTGTTCAGCTCTCAGCAGAGACAGAGACTTCTGACTTTGAGAACGGTGATAGGCAACTTGAGAATGCAGTCTTCCATAGAAAGGTACCGACTTGCTCGCTGTGCATCATTGTTAGTGGTCTGGGTGTAAACATTTGCAGACGGCTTGTCGAAACTCTCCGAAGCATCCAAATGCGCAGGTAGTTCCTCTAGCTCTGCCTTCCGCTTAGTTGGTTTGCAAGGGGGCAAAGATTGTCTTATGACGGGATTTTTGGGGGGCTTCTTCGCACTTGGCGCCAAGTATGCGGGATGATATTCAAGGACAGTTGGCACGGCTCCGGGAAGCAGCTTTCTTATGCTGCAGTCAGGAGCGTAATCGATCTGACGGAAGTACCTGCTGCATACAATAGTCGATGGCGACTTGTCGTTTATTACGAGGTGCTGCCTTGAAATGTTTCGCTGCCATCTTGAGCACAGTTCTTGATCCACAAGGAACTGGTGGAACGAAACCCCCGGCGTTTTCCAGGCACGCGATTTGCAGTACGAGACACAACAGTGCACCATCACGGCACCGGTCGAAGCATATACAATGAATTCACTTTACTATGTCTAACAACATGCAGCACACTGCGATGAATTTCTGAAAACTATACCTTCAGCCTCCCTCAGACCGAAGAAAAGTAAGACGATGTGATTGCTGTTAAATCACAGAAGCACAGACTCTGCGAAAACAGCCCGCACACGCGTTGAAAGCAGCCTGCAAATGCAAGCGCGCAAGTGCCAGGCAAGGGTTGGCTCGCGTAGCCCCCGTGCGGAGAGTGGCGGAACTGTACGTCGATACTCTTCCCCTTTGTTTTCGCCGCCGCTGCGGAGGCCGTATGAAAGCGCGCGCCACTCCCTCTCTAGCCCGGCCGTGGTTAGTTTCCCAGTCTACAGCCTACAAGAACCATTTTTTCAAAAGTAGAGGGGCTCAGCCCCCTTGACTTAGCTCCATAGATGGGGAAGGGGGGGGGGGGGGCTAGCGCTTCATTTGCCCCTCTCCAGTAGATACGTCTATGCTAATGGTTCCCGACTATATAGGACGCTGGTACAATTTTGCTTCAGAAAGATTTTTCAAGCACTGGATTGGCTCTATGAATTCGTTATGTGAGCTCTCAAGAGTTGGTTGTTTTTCCGCATGTGATGCGAACTGTACTGTGGTGCACGTGGAAAAATTTGCTTGAACGTGGGGATTCATCACATCGAGGAGGAAAAGAGGGGCTACACGGTGTCAATCATTCGACGGAGTTGTGTGACTGGACGCGTGTGTCCAACTACAGCGTCACGGTGCCGAAGTTGAAGCTACGGCCTCCACTTGTTCGATAACTTCCTGCACCTTCCGCAGCTTCGCAATCGCAAGTTTTAAGCTCTCACACTTAATCTTCAGGTGCCAGTGCGAACTTATTCGGTGCTTCTCTCGCACACACTCATGTCCTCGCTCCCGCACCATGCTTTAGCACTTTGCTTTGCTCAACTCGTTCGAATGTCCAGTTGGTGAGCCAGTGTCAACGTAGAGCTCATGACTTTGTCCTTGGAAGAGAAGCTCCTTAGGCGATCACACCGCGATCGCCATCGAAGCTCCCCGAAACATCACCGTTCCCTAATAGAGGCTGGCTCTCCTGAGCGGCGGGACGGGCAACGCTAGAACTAGTTGCACTGCAATTTCATCTTGTATCATGCCTCACGCGTTTGCAAATCAATCGCGAATTTCGGAGAAAGCGTGAACGGAAGAACGTGCAACGCGTCGCAAACGCGTACTCTTCGCGCGTCTCAACTCGCCGCGGCATGTGCGTCGCGGACACGTTCACGCTTCAGCCGTGTTTCCTGACTGGCGAACAGAGCTGCGGAACTGTACTGGTTCATGCCCGCTCTACCGGTTTCATGAAAACCAGCAGCGAGGTCAGGGGCGTAGTTCTTTGCATCCAATTTTTGATGACCTTGGGTCAAGGATACTTCTGTACCCAAAACAACTTTTATTTCTTCAATTAGGAACTCTAATTGGTTAGATCTCTCTGTTTTGGTATTTGCACAGCTTGTCATTGTGTGGGTGCGTCTCAACACCTTGAGTAGCGTTTCTGAATCTGCAAGCACCCTCGTCGGTTAGGTGGAACCATCTGCGTTCATGATCATAATGTAAAAACCCCTACACTACCACAGGTGGCCAGCCAGATAGGTAATATGCTATGTATCACGATTTGAATTCGCGTCGAACAGTGCTTCTTTTTGGTGCATGATAGTTGCGACATGGGGCGGATAACAATGCAACCAAAAAAGATGGACTGTTGTGAGCTCATAACGTTTACGCTGTGAATGGTATTCTGGATTCTTTCATGCCACAAGCTACAGAGCCAGTTTTTTTTTTGTCTACAAAGGTGCTGCTGGTCACCAGGACCTTGTCGGGTGTTTACCGATACTGCAGTGGCACTATTATCACCGAAAGACACGTGTTGACTGCTGGCCACTGCACATTTTATACGTAAGTGTTGACTCCTCTACACGAACGTTTTTCGAGGTCAATGTCTAAAGAGTTTCCTACCATGTGGGGACAATATGAAAGTCACCCTACGGAAGGAAGTCTTCAACTTTAGAAATGGACTGTTAGGGTTGCCAGCAGTGGCGCACCAACGCATTCGTGAAGGGGGGGGGGGGGTAACATGAGAGAGAGAACTCTAACGTGCTCGCACTTTGATATGAATATGCATACACAGAGGCGACGCGAGTTTTGATCACACTTTAACAGGCCGAAGAATGGCGTCCTTTGCCCAATTTGGCGTCGAATAAGCGACACTCATCTTGCTATCACGCTTTTTTCTCTGATTATGCTTTGGCGGTTAACATCTTCAGATACCACGATACTTTGATTCATTTATCATGGATGTTACTCGTCGGGATGAAGATGTACCAAGCGTCAACAAGGATATATCCACGTTGTACAGGGCTATAGCTGTCAAACACCAGAACATACATTCTGCGAACCCTATGGTATCAATCTACAATAAACATTTATTCGCCCCTGTAAAGGCGAGTTTTACTTTCGTGTTAATGCCGATTCATCTGACGCAGGCATCCCCCGTGTTTTTCAAGGAATGATTTCTGTTATATTTTTATTAACTATTATACTTTCTTGCATATATTCAGGAATGTATGTAATTTAATTTGCTAATAGCCTGAATATTGTATCTGAAGCACGCAATTATTAATAATATTGCTAATTTTATATTACTATAGGTGACTTATCATGAACTTCTTGACCCTTTTCTTTGAAACTGTATAACTTGTGGTGTTAGGGGCGCAGTAAATTGTTTATATTTGTTGTATTTGTATCAAAATTTCTTAATGGGCCTCCAGGTGCCTACATAAATACACCAATACAAATGGTGTAAACAAAACGTTCCTTTGAAACAACATAGTGTGGACGATTATAACGCTAAACGATCCCTCGTTGCTGCCTTTCAAAATGATCGTTATCTGTATTTTGAGTTGAATTGAGTTCATTGCGTAACAAGGTTGCGAGAAGACCAGGCGAAAAAGCTGCGCTTAGCAGCTTGAGGGGAACCTTGGGGGAATATTGATGTAAACAATCTTTGTCATGCACACCGCACCAGCGTGTTACGTGAGGCAACAAATGACGCAAAAATGACACATGGTGTAATGACCACTTATGCACGACCACGTAAAAAACTACGCCAATGAACTATTTTCGATACGGCGTATTGTTTTTCATTGGTTCTTTGGCATTTAAAATTTTCTGTGTGTCACAAAATCGCCTGCTTGTTATATGAAGTCACGAGCTGGAGAACATCACATTTCAAATGTTATTCAACTAGGCCAGCTGCCAATCACATAATCAGTGGGTACATATAGCAGCTGGCGCGATGAATTATGAGTTTAATAAAATATTTCCACTTGGAGCTGTTACGCTTCATTTTACGCGAACCCCTTTGGGCCCAAATGCAAGACCACGGACAGCGTGCGAACGCTCCCGGGCCTGTAAACGTATCGGGGGTAGAGGCGCAGAAGTGTATGCCCAGACGCCGAGGAACCTGAGACGCTGCTGCCGCGAAGGTCGTCATGTGCTGTGCGCGAGAACGCGGTGAGCTCATGGCTCATTCGCACCTGGCTCTTGAGTGTGGGAACGCCGGTGGTGTGATCCGTGGCGCGATCAGTCGCGTGATCGGTGGCGTGACCAGTGGCGTGGTAGGTGGTGCGAACACAAGGTGATCCATATTTGGTCATGTCTGGAGGCGCCTGACGTCACACAAGCGTCTAGAAGCCTTTAAAAACGCGCAGGGAGAGACTGGGTGAAGCAGTCTGGATTGAGACTCTGCCGGAACTCTGCTCCTCGGCTTCTTACCTTGTTGTAAACTTGAATGTCCACTTTGGTCTAACTATGTAGTATTAAACTCTTTTGATTTGCTGTTCTGCGCCGTCTCGCCGGTACTTCCCTTCTCGTCGGTCCTGATGCAAGTTACGAACACAACCTGCTGACGGCGGCGGTCGAGAGACACCCTCAACAACTGGTGGCAGCGGTGGGATGCTGCAGTCATTTCGACGACTCGAGGGCTGAGCTGCGACATGGATCCACGAGCCGTCTCGTCTGCCAGGCCGCAACCAGATGCAGTGTTTGCGAGGGTCTACGCGGAATTCTTGGCTGTTGAGTGGTGAGTGCGGGGCTTTGTCTGCTGAGTTTTGCCAGGCTTTTTCAGTGGGGAAGCGTAACTGGTAATTCGAACTATTGTTGTCGCCAAAGTGGGCTGCGGCAAGATAGTTGTGTACAGTAGGAAAGGTCGCACTGAACACAGCCATGAATTTGAAGTTGCTGCGTAAAGTGGAGTTATTACAGCTTGCAAATGAGTTGCGTTTGGATGTTTCTGACGCACTCCGGAAACCAGAACTGATCGAGGCTATTAGTGCTCTGGAGGCTGAGGAAGATGAGCTGACGGAGTGCCTTGAGATAATTCGAGAAAGGGAAGCCGCAAAAAGACAGGCAGAGGAGCGTAGAGAACAGCAAGAGAAAGAGCGTGAGTAAAGGGAGCTCGAATTAAAACGACTCGAGTTTCAACGTTCGAGAGAGCGCGAGGAACGCGATCACGCGCTCGAGTTAAAGCGACTCGAGGTTGAAATAGAGCGCGTGCGAACGGCAGGGCAGAGAAGCGAGGCAAACAGTGCAGGGGTGCACACATCGCTCAAAATGACAGAACTAATTCGCCCTTATAAACTCGGAGAGGACATTAGGTTGTTCTTGGTGAACTTTGAGCGGACGTGTGAGAAGCAGGGGTTCTCCCGTGAGTCATGGCCACAGCGCTTGCTCACACTCTTACCTGGCGAGGCAGTAGAAGTAATCGCTCGTTTATCCACTGAGGAGGTCGACGATTACGATAAAGTAAAATCCAGTTTGCTTAGGAAGTACAGGCTGTCCGCGGAGGCATTCCGGCGGAAATTCCGTGAATTGGAGAAAGGAAGGAGTGAGTCATACACTGAATTTGCCTATAAACTGAAGTCAAACATGGTGGAATGGCTAAAGGAGGAGAAGGCCCACGGTGACCACGCAAAGGTTATTGAGTGTTTTTTACTAGAGCAATTCTACAACCGGTTACCAGAGAACATTAGGCATTGGGTGCAAGACAGGCCAGATGTTAGCTCTGTAGCCAGAGCCGCAGAGCTAGCAGAGGAATTCGTCACACGTCGGGCTCACGAAGGCAGTGACAGTGGTCGAAAAGGGGGTCCCGATTTTAGGTTCAAGCCAAAGAGAGGGCCTGTGAAAACGAAGGAAGAGCCTGAAATTGGGAATGCCCGAACCGTAAATACGTCGGAGTCGGAACGGAACACCGAACCTGCGTTAGAACAGCAAAGGAAGCTAGAAGCGAGGAAACCGTTCCTTTGCTATAACTGCCATAAACCCGGTCACATTGCGGCGCACTGTAAGAAACCAAAAGTTGTGTTTCTATCCATCAGTGGTAGGGACGAGAATATCGAGCTTCTCGAACCTTACATGCGCGACCTTGAAGTGCACGGGAAGCCATGCCGCGTACTGCGCGATTCTGCGGCTACGATGGACGTAGTTCACAGCTCGTACGTTGAACCGCAAATGTTCACGGGTGAGTGTGCTTGGATCAAGCAGGCTGTAGAGTCGTGTAGTGCATGCCTTCCCGTCGCAAAGGTAACTATCAAAGGTCCTTTCGGCACGCACGAGACGGAAGATGCCGTGTCGCCGGCACTCCCTCCGCAATACCCTTACCTGTTTTCGAATAGATCTGACAAGATGCTGCGCGAGAGAGGGCAGCTGTTTGGGGAGGCAAATGTGATGGCGCTAACGTGTTCGAAAGCACGGAAACTCGCTGCGAAGGCAGTTGCCGAGTCCCCTTTAGCTGAAATCGGCCTGACGCGGGACTCCCCAGCAGAGGTCGAACTTGCGCCAGCGTTACAACAGCAGGGGGTCTCAGCCGTGGAGGATGAAGCTATGGCACAGGCACCATCAGAAATATTGGAAGAGCATTCCAGAGATTTACTTGTAGCGCCTACGTCGGAAAGCTTACAGCGACTGTTAATGGTAGACAGCATGGCCTTGAGGAATCAACAAGATAAAGACCCGAGCTTGCGAAACATCCAAAGCAGGGTAAATGAAAAGATAGCCCCGAAAAACATAAGTTATTATGAGAAGGATGGCATACTGTACAGGAAGTATGTTGACAAAAGGGGTGTAATGTTTGATCAGCTGGTCGTGCCTCAAGCTTATCGAGAGGATTTACTGCGCTTGTCGCATGGAAGTTCTTGGGCAGGTCATTTAGGCGTCAAGAAAACGAAGGGACGGTTGTTGCAGGAGTATTATTGGCCAGGCTGTTTCCGCGACGCAGAGCGATTTGTAAGGACATGCGACACGTGTCAGCGTGTAGGTAAGCCGGGTGACAAGTCGAGGGCGCCGACGAAGCTGGGGCCTATCATCCCAGAGCCGTTTCGGCGGCTCGTAGTAGACACTGTAGGCCCACTGCCGGCGACATCGTCGGGGTACCGCCACGTGCTGACCGCGATATGCCCAGCGACTAAGTTCCCCGAAGCGGTTCCACTTAAAGAACTTAGCTCTGTGGAAATAGTTAACGTGCTCCTTTCCATATTCGCACGAGTTGGCTTTCCCGCCAAAATACAGTCGGATCAAGGCTCTGTGTTTACTAGTACTCTTACCACTACGTTTTTTTGAAAGGTGCGGAGTAAAACTAATTCATAGTTTAGTCTACCACCCTCAGTCTAACTCCGTGGAGAAGCTCCACTCCGTTCTGAAGCGAGTGTTGAGGGCGTTATGCTACGAAAGGAAAACGGACTGGGGGCTATGTTTGCCGGCTACCATGTTCGCGTTAAGGACTGCCCCGCATGAAGCAACGGGGTTTTCACCAGCCGAGCTCGTGTACGGCCGCTCGTTGCGATCTCCTCTTCGCTTGCTTCGAGAATCGTGGGAAGGCCGAGCCGAAGACCCAGTAGTGG